GGAGGGGAAGAGGAGGAGGAGGAGGAGGAAGAGGAGGAAGGAAGGAAGGAAGGAAGGAAGGAAGGAAGGAAGGAAGGAAGGAAGGAGAGAGAAAAGAAAAGAAAAGAAAAGAAAAAAAAAGAGAAGAGAAGAGAAGAGAAGAGAAGAGAAGAGAAGAGAAGAGAAGAGAAGAGAAGAGAAGAGAAGAGAAGAGCCGGGAAGATGGCTCAGTAGAATAAGCGCTTCCCTGGCAAGTGCAAGGGCTGAGTTCAATCCCTGTATTAAAGAAAAGGAAAGAAAAAATTAAAGCTGAGCATAGTAGCACACACTTGTAATCCCAGCACTCAGGAGGCTCAGGTAGGACTATCACCCAATAACCATGAGTTCAAGGCCAGCCTGGGCTCTATAAAGAGTTCAAGGCCAGCCTGAACAGCATAACAAGACCCTGTCTCAAACTAAAAAGAAGAAATAATAGCAATTAGGTTCTAGGTAATTTTCTAGGTCCAGGGTCCAGAATAGTCCTGATATCTGACTACATTCCCGTGCTTGAGCTCCACCCATTAATTCCTGATAAATTCTATTATTTAAATAGTCTAGAGTCTAACTAATAAAACCCCCTATTCATTGATTATTAAAGGATAATGCCCTACATTCATCAACAGTAATCAGTTTTTCTCAACATGCTAATTAATATTTTGAGACAGCTTGAGCCACCAAACAACCCGGACAACCTTCACAGTTCATTTTCATTGACTTACTTTTGACCAACATGAAAAACAGAGCCCCAACCATCCATCAATAGCAAAGCCAACATGCTATTCTTGACTGCTTAACATTAAACAGCTTTTTTATTTGCACTATGTCTACTCTGCAATTTTAGCAAGTTTCTTCATTCCTCCATTTTCATAATCCAACAATTTCCCCATGCTGGTGTTGCTTACTATTCAGCCTAGATCCTATGTCTGATCATGTAAAAATTTGCTCGGTACCTCATACCATCATACTCATATATCCCCAACCTGAACAACTAATCTTCCCTACTCACTCACAAGAAACTCAAACTTACCAAGGGTGGGGGCAGCACACACAACACCCTCATTCCCTCCTCTTACCAAAATCTATTTGTGGAACCAGGGATTGAACTCAGACCCTTGAGCTTGCCAGGGAAGCGCTTATTCTACTGAGCCATCTCCCCAGCCCCTGAGCCATCTCCCCGGCCCCCCGAAACCTATTTCTACAAGTGCTTTTGACCTCCTTTCCCTTTCCTCTCCTCAGAGGTTTGTCCTATCATTTATCCCCACCCTTTACTTTCAACTTCATTAATTACACGAGCTCCTTATTCACAACTAATAAAATAGTTGGTTTTATACCACATTAAAAACCCTGTTTTATATCTGCAATAAACAGTTATCTTTCTCTCCCTCGCTGAAAATCTAATGAGAAATACCACACACATGTTGGGTAGAAATGTCATCCACACGTTGCTTTAGGAAGAATGCCAAATGATCCTCATGGGAAGGAAAGAGCACAAGAATCCCTGTGCATGGATTCCTCCAGAATCCACTGGCCTTACAACCCAGTTGTACAAGATTTAATACACCTGAATCCTGGGTCCCTTTAGTCCTTCCAGCATGTCTTCTAATGTGGGGGTGGTACTAAGGATCCTCAACATAACTGTCTCTACTCTATTGCCTTCAATTAGTCTTGTTTTGTACTGGAGTGGAACCTGGGATGTTGTAAATGGCAGGCAAGCATTCTGCCCTGAGTAACTACCCCAGTCCTTTATTTCTGAGACAAAGTGGCTAAATTGACCAGCTTCCTGCCTCAGCTTACCAAGTAGCTGAGGTTATAAGCATGTAGCTACACACTTGTCTTTGCTTTTTTTTTCCTCTTTTTTGCCACATTTATTATTAGTGTATATTGGTTATACAGACTAATGGATTTCATTTCAGATTTAAGACGAGCTCACTGTAAAGTTCAAGCCAGTCTTGAACTCATCATGCAACCTAAACTGTCCTCAAACCCACGGCAATTCTCCTGCCTTCACTTCTGAACTGCTGGGATTACAGATGTGCACCACCACACCCAGCTTGTATGTTGGCAGATCCCATACACGCACAATGACACACTTTAATCATTTCCCATCCCCTTGCCTCACTCTCCCTTAAAGCTTCACAGGGCAGGGGGGAGTGGCAGAGGCAATGTGGATAATGTACTTTGATCATACTCAGGCCCCTTATTAACTATCCTTAAACCTCCTCCCCTTCTTCCCTTCCTCTTGTCCAACAACAGTTTCCCTTCAACTTTCTTGTCATCTTTTTTGGAGACTACATATTAGCGAAAGTATGTAATACTTATCTTTCTAGTCTAGTTTACCTTACTCATCATTATGATATCTAGATTCCTTCATTTTTCTATAAGTAACAAAATTTGGGCACTTTTAATAGCCAAATAACACTCCAGGGTGTACACATACCATATTTTCTTTATCCAGTTATCTGCTGATGGGCACACTGGCCAGGCCACAGTAAGCATGGGTGGACAAGTATCCCTATGGTGTACTGACTTTTATTCCTTCAGGTACAATCCAAAGGGTAGTATGGCTAGATCAAATAGTAGCTCTATTTTTAGTTTTCAGAGAACCTCCACATTAA